ACTCTTATGTGGATACGATATCTTGAGTACTGAGTGGGCGCCTGTCGCCAATTTTCTGTTTCGCTGTTTGCATACATGACAAGTTGAATAATCGTAAGTGTGATTTCAGGCGTGTCAAATTCAAGGGAAAAGGTGTGGGCCGAAACAAAGACTCTGATTCAGGCAGAGATTCTATGCAAGTGGCACAAAACTAGACCTTCCCTACCAGACGAGGACGAGCAACAACGCAGAGCTCTGTTGAAGTTTTCCAAGATCTGGCTGATTGAAGGAAAAGTTGCAGAGATAAAGAACTGCTATATACGGTGGAAGGACTGGCACGACTCGTAAGGAGACAGGAGAAGACCAAGACACCTCACGGCCAATGGAGTAGTTCCGCCGCAGACTACAGTGCCCTATGCTGAACGCCAAGGGTATCAGTCTAATGCCTTGGAGAGGAAGGAGAATAGGTCTATTTGACAGGCCCGAGAAGGGAACCTGAGAGAAGGAAGTCGATAGGGCAAGCTGACAGTCAATCCTCCCTCAAGGGAGCAATCAATGCTGGTCAGGGGTCCTTCAGCCATATGGAAGGAAGCATGAGCGTGTTTTTTCATGTTGTATCCAATCTTGACTTGCCGGGGGAATAGGAAATGGACTGACGCTCCCCAGAATGGAAAAGGAGCCAGGCCCATAAAGACCTGTTTTTTTTTTTTCTTTTTTCTTTTTTTTTTCTTTTTTTTTATTATAAAGAAGTTCAGAATCTCTTTGTGAAGGTCCTTCGGAACATCCGTTAAAAGCGGAACGGTACAGAGAAGATTAGCATGTTGCTCAAGGATAACACCATTGACACGCATAAAAATCGAGGAATTCAAAAAAAAAAAAATAAAAAAAAATTAGCAGCACCCATAGTGCTAAACACTGCTAAATAAGGAATATACGTTGCATCTCACCTCCACCTTTAGATCATGGTACCCACCGCAAAACGCTAGTTACATCCTTCCCTGAATTCTCACGCCTCAAATCAAACATTACCTCCTAGCCTCACTTTCCACCTCGATTTCACATCACTTCCCAACCCACCCTCCATACTCACCAAATTTCACTCGCAACAACACATATCCGTCCCATCTCAGACAACCACACTCGCTGTACTACAGACCTCAGTATTACTGGCAAGAGGCAGAACGAGGCACAGAACGAATTCCAATAGGAAATAGCGGTCTTTTACTCAATGTCCTTCCCTATCCCCCCTCCCTCAATTATATTCACACACTAGATCTTACATAGTCCAATTCACCTTTTAAGAAGCAGTGACTCCAATTGTTACATGCTGCGCCTGCACACGGGCCCTGTTTTGAAGGGCTCAACGGTTGCTAAGGGGCCCCCAGGTCACGTGCCATCCAGCACGCACCCTGGAGGCCCACAGCGGCCTTTTTGGCCACAGGTATCGGCAGGGTCCGTTCGGACGTCGTTTCGGACTGCAGGTTCCAAGGCAACGCCTTGGACCAGGTACGCAGGGGGCAGGCCTTTTTCAAGGCCAGGCACGTTTTGGCGCCTCGCTGCATCAGCAGCGCGGTCTGGGCGCCCGGTAGGGACCCAGACTCAGTAGGCCATTTTGAGGCCGTACCTGAGAGGCTGAGACCGCCCAGCCGGCCCAGCGCTACTTATAGCTGGGCTGAGGCCGGGCTGAGGACAGTTCGGGTTGCTCACTTCTTGAGCGACACGCTGCTGGAAGGAGGCTGCGCCATGCTGCGCTATTCTGAGCGCAGCACAGTTGAGCTAGGAGGAAGTGCAAGTAGAATGAGAGAGGCGGAGGCCTACCTGCAGCGGCGGACTTACCTCAGGCTGGCGCCATAGTCGGAGCTCCGCGCAGTACCTGCACACGGCGACGACCTAGTCAGTACGGTGGTAGCCACCTGCAGGTGAGATAGTGAGGCGGATGGCATCTTCTTCTTCTTCCTCGTCCTCCATCTCGTCTCTCTCTCTCTCTCTCTCTCTCTCTCTCTCTCTCTCTCTCTCTCTCTCTNTCTCTCTCTCTCTCTCTCTCTCTCTCTCTCTCTCTCTCTCTCTCTCTCCTCTTCTTCTTCTTCTTCTTCTTCTTCTTCTTCTCTTCGTCTTCTTCTTCTTCTTCTTCTTCTTCTTCTTCTTCTTCTTCTTCTTCTTCTTCATAGTCCATGTCGTCGTCGTCGCCGCCGTCGTCGCCTTCTTCTTCTTCTTCTTCTTCTTCTTCTTCTTCTTCTTCTTCTTCTTCTTCTTCTTCTGCTCCTCCTCCTCCTCCTCCTCCTTTCTGCTGGTGGTCTCTGTATGGTGTGTGTCAGGGAGACTTTCGCATACCTTGCCATTAAACCCAACTCAAGTTCTGCTAGCCCTTTTCCTACATCTCAATTTGTCGGCGATTGTCAATTTTGTGTCACATGTAACTTCATGTCATAGCTCTGATTCTAGCAAACATATTGAAGAGCACTGGGGAAGACACCACGTGCCAAGTCCATCAGCCCCGTGTGTTCGTGCGACAGCAGGTCAGAAAACAGATGCTAATTTGACATGTATAACATGATGTGTTATCATTTTGGGAAAACTACTCTCAAATCTGGAGTCTCTTTATGTAGTTGTTCACAACCAGCTGAGGCCTTTAGGAGGCTTAACAGACTTGCTTGAGAAATTATTCACTTAATTTCTGCCCGTTCTCTCGATCTTTTCCAGATCATCGCAGGATTCCAGAAAACCATCCTGGGCATTATTTGGAGCCCTCATGATCCGAGCCTTATTGCTTCAAATGGGTCTGATCAGGTTTGTTTGACGCGTCCATCATTCTGGCTATCTGGCTGTTTGCCTGTCCACCCATCCCTCTCTTGGCATGCCTCTTTCCCCCTCTCACTGTACCCTCCCCTCGTCCCCGGGCCCCGAGCCTTCCTTCCCTTTTTCTTGCCTTCCCCCTCCCACCTTTCCCCTCTTTTCCTTTTTTTTTTTTTTTCGTTTCTGAAAACAAGTGCTCCAGTCTATTCATGGGGAGCAGCACGTGCTGGGAACCGGGCCCAGCGTCCCATATCGAATTGTACAGATCATTGAGAACATTTGAGATCATTTGAGATACCGGGGCCATTACCCGGCTTCGGCTGATTAAGGAACTACTGATGCAATAGGCTGCCACAGAGGTCATACGAATGCTCACAACCCTCAGGATCCCTAACAAACCCTTCTAAGATTTTCCAACAGCGTCTTACTCCCTGCTGAGCTCTTCCAGGCCCCACGCCCCCGACCTGCTGGGTTACATGGGCAACACAACTCGCCCCAGCTCCGACCACCGTCGTCCCAGCAGCAACCCTTGGTTGTCCCTTGGGATGCCCACACCAAAGCATCCCCAGATCTCTCTACCAGGCCTCACGCTCCTGCATCAGCAGGTTACAGGGCAACACCCCAGCACCGGCCAGCGTCATTCTGGCATTGAACAGCCGCAGATCACTGAGTATAACAACATCGAAACCGCCTAAGATGGGTTGCTAAGAATCCCTACTAGAGTCCTTGACATTCATAAGAACAACCAACTTTTTTTGCACTATTCAGACTCAGTAAAAGTCACTAGAATATGTGTGTCAAAAAACCTCCCAACCACGAGTCAGATAGGTGGAACCTATTCAATCCACCTACGAACACCACCAGCATGGCTGTTTTCAGCACGAACAGAAGCTCCTCCAGGCCTCATGCTCCCATCAGGTTAGGTTACAGAGTTGCACCACCTTGCTCCAGCACCGGCCAACATTGCTCCAGTTATGACCCCTGATGACCACTGAGACTGCCCGCGCAAACAGCCCCCCAGAGCTTTTTACCAGGCCTCACGCCCCCACTAAGCTAGGTCACAGAGTTGCGCCACCTGGCTCCGGCTCCGGCCAGCGTTGCTCCAGCATCAGTCTTCGAGGGCCACCAAATTTTCGACCACCCTTCGCAGGATCACAAATGACTTGCCAGATAGCACCTATTCCTACAACCTCCTCAAGAGGCAAACCAAATGGAAAGAAATAGTAAACTGGATGATAGACTTCTTCGAGAGAGATCGCCCCTCCCTCCCCCTACCCCTCCCCCCTCAGCCCTTCACTGCTATGAATCTCCCTCGGCGGCGGCCGTCGGCAGCCAAGTCCGCGGCTGTGCGGCCGCATGGCGGCCAGTGGGGAGGGGGAGCGGGGGTTTGGGAAGTGGCATGGGGTGG